TACTCCATCAACCAATATCACCACCCCAACCTTTATACCTTTACCTCTAAACCCTATAGCCACTCAAACATCCCCATCTCCTTGACATTCAACCTCGCCCACACCCAATCCACCCCCACCCCGACGCGGCACACGACCTACCAAACCTTTCTCCTTTTTGCAGGACTTTCATGTCGAGGCCTTTCTCCAGTCAAGGACTACTCTCACATCTTCAACGAACGTGGTTCGGTCGTTGTCAGGTACCTCTCATCCCCTCTCTACTCACTTATCCTATAACCATCTCTCACCCACATATAAAGCCTATACTGCTAATCCCACCCCTTATGCCTCCTTGCTCCAGTTTTTCATAGGCTATCCAAGATCCACATTGGCGAGATGTTATGTACCATGAACTTGCAACCCCCCATGCAAATAAAACTTGGACGCTTATGCCTCTACCTCCTCACAAATGTCCCATTGGCTACAAATGGGTTTATAAGGTGAAGCTCAAACCTGATGGGACCATCGAAATGTACAAGGCACGACTTGTTGCCAATGGGTATGGTCAAATCAAAGGTGTTGATTACCGCTACACTTTTTTTCCCATGGCTAAGTTGACTGCAGTTCATGTTCTTCTTAGCGTTGTAGCTTTGCAAGGCTGTCATCTTTATCAACTAGACGTGAACAACGCGTTTTTACATGGTGACTTGGAAGAGGAAGTTTACATGAATTTGCCTCCTGGTTTTGGACGAAAGGGGGGGACTCGAGTGTGCAAGTTGAACAAATCTCTTTACGGTTTAAAGCAAGCTTTGAGGATATGGTTCATCAAATTATCCAATGCTTTCAAGGCTGCTGGGTTTCACCAATCTTTGTTTGATTACTCATTGTTTGTCCGAAGTAGTCAAGGTACATTCATTGCCTTACTAGTCTATGTCGATGACGTAATATTGGCAGGGAATGATTTACGTGAGATTGAAAAGACCAAATGATTTACGTGAGATTGAAAAGACCAAACAGTTTCTCTTTCACCGTTTTAAACTGAAAGACTTGGGTGTGCTTAAATATTTCTTGGGGATAGAAGTTGCACGATTAAAGCATGGAATCACTCTATGTCAACGAAAATATATGCTGGAGATATTGGATGATGTTGGGTTTCTTCGCGTGAAATCTTCCCAGTTTCCTCTAGACCAAAATTTGGCCCGTACACAAATGGAAGGAAAGTTGTTGGATGATCCATCCTCGTATAAATAACTTGTGGGTAGATTGATATATTTGACCAGACTTGGCCTATGCCGTGCATGTGTTGAGTCAGTTCATGGAGAAGCCTCGGAAACCACATCTTGATGTCGCACACAAGGTACTCAAATACATTAACTAGGCACCTGGGCAAGGTATTTTATTTCTTTCCATGGGTTCATTACAGTTACAAGCATTTTGTGATGCTGATTGGGCCAGATGCAAAGATACTATAAGATCGATAACGGGTTATTGTGTTTTACTTGGCCAAGCACTGATTTCGTGGAAAACTAAGAAACAAACCACTGTATCTCGGTCCAGCGCAAAAGCCAAATACCGTTCTATGGCCACTACATGTTGTGGGATTACATGGTTGAAAAATATCTTAATGGATTTGAAAGTGAATCACCAACAACCGGTTTCATTGTTTTGCGACAATCAAGCAACCATACATATTGCTTCGAATCCTATTTTTTATGAACGAACAAAGCACATAGTGATTGATTGTCATCTAGTGCGAGAGAAGTTTAAAAAAGGAATGATATGTATGGCCTACATACGGACGAGTGACCAGCTAGCTAACATATTCACCAAACCATTGAGTTTGACACAATTTGAAACGTTACTCAGCAAGTTGGGTGTCATTAACATACACTCCAACTTAAGGGGGAGTGTTAAGGAAGGAATCTCGGATTGATTAGTCAATATTGTGAATTAATATTTAGTTATTCACTTTATTGTTTAGTTTTAATTAGCCTTATTTGTAGGCAATAGAATAGGATACAATCTTTATAGTCTTTGTATGAAGTTGTAATTCATGTTTGATGAATATACACAGAAATTCATTCGCCTACTCTACGCTTCTTATGAAAAAACAATATGAAAGATGGATGACTGAAGAATATGGTGTGTGTAGGTTTGAGGTTCAACCTATGCTTATATAGATGATAGTGGTGATGGTGGTGGATGGATGTGTTTCATGTGTTTCATATTTTTCATGTGTTATATATCTCTATCATATATGTCACATTCTTTCATGTTTTTCATGAGTTTCCTGTTCAACGACAAAGTATTTAACAACGAAGACTTCTAAGTCATATTATGAGCCATTTTATTTAAATATCTTGGTTACGTCAGTATTAATTCTATCAGGTGAAGTCCAATATATGTTTTAAACCCAATTTATTATGATCTCTTGCTTGTTTTTCAGCCTTGAGACAAGGACGAGAAGGTTAATTCGTATTTAACAAGAGTGCTATTATGCTCATCCATAGTTTTATTTCGTACGTGTTATATTTTCACTCATTATAAAAAGTTTAAAAAACTAAACACTCTATTCTCACCTGACTTATATTCCTAAAATATCCCTAACAGTTTTAAGCTCTAAATAAATAAAAAATAAAGAATGATTGAATCTTGGAGATTTAAGAAAATGAAAGAGCCACGAACGTCCCTCCCAACCCAACTGAAAGCAACCACAACTAGGCATTAGATAGGATGGTGACGGCTCCTTTTATACTTGTCGCTGGAAAAGTACTTTCCTTTCTTTTTCTTCTCCTTTCTATGTTCTTCTCTTTTTCTTTCTTTCTCCCCCTACCGAATTTGAATCTAAGATTCATATTCATAGTTATTTTCGAATTCCAATTCAGAACTAAGGGTTGAAAATAGGGAGAAAACAAGAGATAGAATTTGGCGTGGGTGGGGTGGACGGAAGAGAGAGAAGATGGAGGGAGGCGAAAAAGTTAGAAAGAGTGAGGGATGAATAGACAAAATGGGGAGGTTTGATTCGTTTCTTAGTTTAAGTTTTTTTAATTCTTTTTACTTTTTTTATTTCACTACAAAGAATATATAAGAGGATTTAGTTTTAACATAGCGTTTGAATTCTTTTTACATAAAGTTAAATTTGGTATTCAAATTTTTATTAAAAAGTGAGTGGAAAGATAAAACTATAAGGTGTGCATAGCAGCACTCTTAGTTAAAACCATATCATAATCAAGAGCAGTAATCACCATAAACACAAGTACCCCTCAGTCCTAGTTAATAGAAACACACCCAATGAATCACTTTAAATTCTTAGAGGTTCCAAGAGAAAGATGGAAGAGAAACTTCAATCCTCAATTGCGATTAGTAGCGTGCATGATTCTGTTGTATGTCAAATTTTTTTTTTAAAAAAAAAAGTGATAACGTTAATGGATTACATTGTTAAATATTAAAGAGAGAAGAATTGGTGAGGATCGAACCTGCACCAAGACGCATAGACATTATAACATTTCGTCAGGAATAACAAGCATTTGTGAATGTGATGGATTAGTTGTCTTATTAGGCTTACTCAAGATAAGACTCATTCATTGATGATGTTATGTTTGGTCCCCAAATTTTATCCGTTTTCCAAATAAATCTATTTCTAAATGATTGATTTATGACCATGTCAAAGGAAAGAACATATTCCAAACTACATGCTTGCTTTATAAGTTTTAAAAGAATCCACTAAATCATACAAATTACAGTTGAATATCAAAGTGCACAACGAACAAGATTACAAAATAATAGGAATATTATTAAACAAACGAGAATGCTGGAACGGCTACAAAACCCTAAGATGCTACATCATAACTGACTTATTTCTCAAATTAAATTATAAGAAATATTTATAGAGAACTAAACCTAATAAACCCTAACTCGGATGGGCTCGGCTCAAATCCTAAACTTACAAGCAAAACCTAAATACTAATATTTTCCAACACCCCGCCCCCGGGTCAAACTCATGTTGGTACACGACATGAGTTTGCCAAAGTAGATGTGGATGCAAAACTCCAAATTCCAATGTCAATGCCAATGCCGATGCCGATGCCGGTGTTGATGCCTATGCCAATGCCAATGCCAGATTTCCATTCCAAGTTCAAGCTACCATGCCCAATGCAAGAATACATGGGCCACAAAACAACCATATTTTTTCCTTCCTTTTTTCCCCATTTCCCTCCTATTTGTTTTTTTTTTTCTCCTCTTTTATTTCTTTTTCTTTTCTTTTCCTTTTTTTTCTTCTGTGCTAACAACTGCAGAACTCTAGTAAACACGTACAGAACTCAAAAAACGCGTTGGTGTGAGATTTTTAGGAATGCAGGTCAGATGCTAAAGTACAGGGAAAGATGAACAATGACAACCCATTTTCTTTTCAGACTACTACGACTGTCAATATCGAATATCCAAAGATAAAAAATGGAACATAAACAAAGTGACCAAGAAGAACAAAGGACACAGACCAAAGCAGAAGCGAAAGCCTAATCGAGACCAAAACTAAACCAACAAAATAAATTGATACCATACAAGAGCAGATTGGACCCAAATGATCGAACCCGCTCTGATAACAAGTTGAATATCAGAGTGCGCAACAAACAAGATTACAAAATAATAGGAATATTATTAAATAAACGAGAATGCCGGAACAACTACAAAACCCTAAGAGGCTGCATTGTAACTGACTTGTTTCTCAAACTAAATTACAAGAAATATTTATAGAGAACTAAACCTAAGAAACCTTAACTCGGATGGGGTCGGCCCAAATCCTAAACTAACAAGCAAAACCCAAATACTAAAATAAACGTAAATGCTAATATTTTCCAACAATTACTATATATAACAAATGAGGTTCTACTGAGCTAGCGTGTGATAAAGTTAAAAATAATATTGGTGTCGAACCATAAGATTTGTCAAATCTTTTGTTTTTCCACCTAAAAAGTGGGAACCACAAAGCTTTAGCTTTTCTCTATATATTTAGTGACCCTTTGCTCTACAAACTCATCAAGCTTTCAAATGGAAGGCAATCTTACTCCCTTTGTACTATTATTGGCTCTGCTTACTCTCCAATTATGCAGTCCTGATGCATCTCCTAGCAGATCCAACACTCAGTACATAAGAACATCGTGCAGCGTCACAAACTATCCGAGGCTGTGCTACAACTCGCTCTCCATCTACGCCGGAAAAATCAAGACCAACCCGAAAGCACTAGCACACACTGCTCTTAACGTGACCATTGCTGCCACCCAAGAAACATCTGTGATCATGAGAAGGCTGTCCAAAATCCATGGCTTGAAACCCATAGAGTCTGCAGCAGCGCTTGACTGCATGGAGGAGATTGGTGATGCTGTTGACGAGCTCCAAAACTCGATAGATGAATTGAGTCATGTGATTAGGGGATCAAATTTCTGGCTTCAAATGAGTGATATCCAAACATGGGTTAGTGTTGCATTGACAGATGAGGACACCTGCATGGATGGATTTGATGAACATAATATGAGTGGAAGGGTGGAGAATCTTGTCCGTAGGTACATAGTGAATGTTGCGCATCTTACTTGCAATGCTTTGGCGCTAATCAACAGCTACGCCTCGGCCTCGACTGAAGCGTTTTTGCCGTAGATTCTCTTTTGTTCTCAGGAAAGGTATGACGGAAACGGGTCATTTGGTACTTAAGAAAGAAAGAAAAATCTGAATATTTGGTATCTGAGAAATTGTGGATGCATATGGAGTGAAGGATGGATCAAGAAGGGTGGTGGGTCTTGAGACTAAAAACAAATTAAAATAGTTTTTTGTTTTCGTTTTTCGTTTCCAATTCGTGTATCTTTCCTTATAAATTTCTTCACCATTTCTCCAACAACCCTTCAACCCTTCTCCTATATCCCTCATTTTCTTGTACAATCTACCTTCTATCTCTAACACAAAAATAAAAAAACTAAGAACCAAATGGTAATCAAACGGGTGCTAAATTGTCAGATTAGACCAACCAAAAACAAAAAACCATTTCATCATAATCCTCATACATCAACAAATGCACCAACATTTATCTTAATAAAAGCAGAATTAATAAATTAACATGCTATCAGTAAGAAATTAAACAGCATCACATAACATAAATAGATAATTCATCAAATAATTATCATATAATAGCCCTTGAAATTAAACCAAATTTATAATATTTGTAGCTGAACAAGTAGCTGGTAGCTACCCACTGACCAAGAAGAACAATGCGTTCACGGGCTGGGCAGCCTGGGCTTGGGGCTCAGATGGATTATGGGCTTGCTGGAACAACCTGAACCGACTTCTATTTGTGAGGAGATAAATTTGAGATGGGTGGCGGCTTCGCATCCCTTGTTATTCTTCATGATCAAAATTTTTACGTTCTGCTTTGACGAGTAAATTTAAGATTGATAAGGACTTTTAAAATGACAAAAACTGACCATTTAGTACTATAATCTAGTGTTAATCATCTTTACTTGTAAGTGAAAGGTCTTAGGTTCATTTCTTGCCAAAAGCGATCTTGACCTACATTATTATGGCTTAGCCCATTCCCCCACTTCCTTAGTATAGATAATATCGCTTGTTCAAAAAAAATAATGACAGAAATTCAAATGACAGAATTTTATTTTCTAGAATTTTGTGAATCTTCTTGTCTACTTAAACAAAGGAACAATAAAATTTGTGTCACATCCCGGCCCGGGCCCCCACCACATCCCGAGCCCGCTCTACCGCCGTATCACGATATTGTCCGCTTTGGACCCCGACCACACCCTCACGGTTTTGTTTATGGGACTCACACGAGAACTTCTTAGTGGATCACCGAGCCGAGATGTGATAATTTGGTATCAGAGTCAATCCCTCGCCGGAAGTGTGCCGACGAGAACGTCGGGCCCCTAAGTGGGGTGGATTGAAAGATCCCACATCACCCAGGGGAGTGATCCTTATATGTATATTCTCATCCCTACCTAGCACGAGGCCTTTTAGGAGCTCACTAACTTCGTGTTCCATCGGAACTCCGAAGTTAAGCGAGCTCGGGCGAGAGCATTCCCGTGATGGGTGATCCACTGGGAAGTTCTAGTGTGAGTTCCCAGAAACAAAACCGTGAGGACGTGGTCGGGGCCCAAAGAGAATAATATTGTGCTACGGCAGAGTCAAGCCTAGGATGTGGTGGAGCCTAGGCAGGGATGTGATAATTTGAATATGAAATTTATTATTTTTAAACTCACTCATAGAAATTTAGAAATGATACGTATTTACACGTAATTTAAACTTAGGAATTGGAGGTCCCAAATTCTCAATTTCTATATTATGAATCCAAATAAGGAAATTAGTGCATGTCAATTTATAAATTCTAACTTTTGTCAAAATTCGTCGTTTATATCTCTCATCCAACCATAGTGTTACAAAAACTTTTCTTTTCGCAACGTTTAGAAGTTTATGGAAAGAGGTTAATTGAGAGAAATTTTTAGTTGGAGAGGGATGTATTTTTTATCTTAATTGAGGAGATACATTTTTTTCAATTGACTTATGGTAGAAAATATCTAAACTACATATTAATAGAGTTCTAATTGTCAATAAAAACAAGGAAATTATCAATATACCCTTTATACTAATTGAAAGAAAATATTATAAAGGGAAAAAATGTGGGAATTAAAGTAATTCCACACAAATAGGCCTGACAAACGGGTTGTGTTTGTCATGTTTCGTGTCGTTTTCGTGTAACACATGTTACCTTAACAGGTCATGTCATGTTACACCCATTATCTTAACGGGTCCTTAACAGGTCGAGTCACTTTACCCAACTGATAAAATGACCCGACCCGTTAAGAAATTTAAAAAAAAAAAAAAAAAAAAACACATACCACGTTGTCACATAAATATTACTTCAAAACATAAAAACACATTTGTCGTTAAGTACTACATCTACACTCCAAGATAAGAGCCTAATAAAAAAGCACCAATACACTACTAGTCTACTACAAAATATCAAATGTGCAAGGATATGCAAAATGAAGGAGTTTTTCTTTTCAAGGTTGTGAAGTCTTTCTCAAAAGTTAAAAGTTTTTCAAGGTTGTGAATCCTTTCTCATAAGTTAAAGCCTTTCATTGATCATCATGGGAAATTGTATTGGAACTTTGCTTTGATCAATTGCCTTCAAGAGTTATGTTGATGATGTTTTCAGTAAGGTTTTCCACATCAGAACTCTTTTTGGCAAAAACTAACTATAGAAAAACCGAACATTACAAATCATTCAAATTATGAGAAGTTTACCAAAATAATTATGAAAAGAAATAAAACAATAGTATTATACCATATAAAAATATATTACCTCCTTTCCAAATTTTCTAAATTTAATTTAATATATATATGTAACAGCCCGTCCCGAAATTTATTTATCATCGATGTGAAATGACGGAATTGCCCTTAAAGGCTATTAAGGTACGTGTGACATGTTATTCGAAAATGTATACTCTCCTAAGTTCTTGGAAAATTTAATTAAGTAGATTAAATGGTATGCAAATTGTGTGGTTAGGGACCTAAAGGAATTGGATTGTGATTGTTTTGGGTGGACCACACACACACGGGACAAGCCCTCTCTCCTACCCATGCCCTCTCTCTCTCCTCCCTCGTAGTTCTCTTCCTCTCTCCCTCTCGAACTCGTACGGACAAGGACCAAAATCCCTCAAAACATCACGGATCGACGTCAAAAAGGTGAGTTCCTTCATCCTTGCGACCTCTTGAGTCGATTGGTACTAGTTTTAGAACTGAAAACCCTCGAAATCACGTGGAATCCGAACCCCAGTTTGATGTCACTGTTCATGCACACGTGAAATGTTGATTTTCAGGGAATTTGAAGCTCACAGGGAGCTTAGTGAGGTCCCAAGGAAGCTCAGAGTACTTAGTTTGAAGGTTTTGGACGTTGGGATCGTAAGGTTTGAAGTTGGCCGGTTTTCTTGGATTTTCTTCGGTGAGATTTCGTATGTTTTTTTAGCCTTAAAGTAGTACATCGTGATTCTTCATGCTTAGGGCTTCATTTTGATATAAAATGCGTAAGAAATGGTTGAGAATTAAAGGAGAACAAGGAGATTGAAAAATCTCCAGTTTTCCAGCGCCGGCGAAACCAGTCCGGCGACTGGAGGAAGAAGATGACGTGCGTGGGGGCGCATGCCGTGTTGAAATTTTTTTTCTAAAAATACCTCAACGTCCGTGACGTCGAGTAGGTCACTGTGGTATATTCATATACCCAAATTGAGCATCGTACGAAAAGTTATTACGTATTGTTGGTTGTATGCTTTAAATAATGTTTTTATAGTTGTTTCGCATATAGGTGAGACCTATCCCGAGGACGAGCGCGTTCAAGGGCGTCACAGGGGTACGACCCTTCGACCTACCAGTGAGTGGGCAGTATTTTCTGTATTTACCTATATACTATTGCTTTTTCCCAGAAATTGAATTTAAATGAAAGTATGTTTTAAAATGCCATTCATATATATATATATATATATGAAATATATGAATTAGTAATTGTTGCATATATATGTTAAATGGTGTTGTGGACGCATAGGTGAGTATCAGGTGAGTTATATTGTTCGTATGATTTATTGATGATGTGAATTGTGTTGAGAGCTCATAACCTGCACCCCTGGTGTTAGTGCTTATATTATTCACCCGCACCACATGCTCACCTTGGATCCAAGTAGGTGCATATCGTACAGACCATTAGAGGGTTCCGACATGTCGTATAGACCATTAGAGGTAGTTCCGACTTATAGGTGATCTTAGATTATTATACAACTGTTGATGAGAGAAGCACTTGAGCGTATTCTTACACCATTCTTATCGTACAGACTACTTTAGGTAGTTTCGATTTATGTGCAGAGTAGCGCCGTACAGGTCACAGTGGTGACTCCGGTTGGATTGGATATTGAGCTATAGAATTGACCGTACAGGACAGCTGCAGGGTCTCCGGTTGATTCCTTATTTCACTTGTTATTTTGATGCATCCTTATTCTGTTATTGACGCTTACAGCATGGCATACTTTATGGTTTTGATAAAGATTGGTGATTTGAGATACTTGAAGAATTATATGCATATTATGTTATTTTCTGGGAAAGTATACATGTTTTACAGCGAAGGGTTAGAAATGTTATTAAATGAAATGTTTTTGAAAAGCTTGTTTTACTGACCCACTCAATCTTGTTTTGCGCCCCTCCAGGTTCTAGTTAGCTGTGTTGGTGGCCCATGAGGATTCCCATGGCGTATTGACAGACTACATAAATGTAGGACTCACCTTCGGGTGTTGTAATTTAGTTATAGTCCTACTTGACTACACCTAGTACTTATGCTCTGAACATATGTGTTTCACACTTAAACTCACTCTAGTATGCTAACTAGTTATTATTGCTAGTAGATGGATTTTATTCCTTCGTAATTCTTTTATCTTTTGCCTCTGCATCGCACTTTTGGTTACGTCATGCTCACGTGACGGCCAGCACGCATTGATTATAGGATTGGGGTGTGTCAGTTTGGTATGAGAGCATAGGTTTGCAGTCCTGTATAAATTGTTAATGCTCTAATAATCTTTTGGTGTCTTCTGTCAGAACTATGCCGCCTCGTAGGGAATCACGTCTTGCTTTTGAGCCTAATTTCCTTGATATAACTCAATTAGGGGAAGCGATGACCCATGCCTTTCAGAATGCAATCCGTCCTCCTCCTCCTCCTCAGAGAACACCTCTAGAGACTATATACAATCTGAAATTAGACCGCTTCATGGGTAATGAGGGTCATGAAGGGGCAAAAAAGTGGTTAGACCATATTGAGAAGACCTTTCAGGTGATGTAGAGTCAATGGAATCTTCCTGCTA